ACGGGCAATTAGACCGCGAGGGTGGAAACGAGGGTCGGTTGAAACGACGTCGGCACGCGCGACTTCGCCCTATCGCCGTAGCGCACACCGATTCCGCCCCCCCCCACGGTTTATTTTCGCTTTTTTGTTTGTTTTTTTATTTTTTTTTTCGCAGCGCGTTCGGTGTTTTCCGACGCGGGAGATTATTTCGGCCGAAACCCCGCCGACGGTTTTTCCTCGTTCGCTTGCGGCGCCGCACCGTCTGAACGGCGCCTACGACATATTATCATGCGCGTACGTATGCGTGCGTGCGTACACGACAGAATCCCGTTGCGGAACGTATTTTCGCAGACCTCACCACCCCGTAGTGCGCGCACGACGCACGCTCGTCGCCCTCTCACCCCTCCCGCCACCTCGCCCCCCCCACTACCGTACGTACCGCGGGCCGCGTATTATGCGGCAGTCGCGGTGCAACGGCCGAACGCTATCAACCGTTATCATTTCCTCCCACGCGCCGTTCGCCGCGCGATAAATCGGACCGCCCGTTTTTGCCGCGCAGTTTTTCTGTCTCGTCTCCGTCGTTGTTTCCGGTACGAACAGCTTTTTACGCGCGCGCACGACAACACCGCCCCGGGCCCCGGCATCCGACTCGCCCGACGTAAGGCTGTCCGCGAGCAATACGTACGCGCGCGCGTTATCACAATTACTATTATCACTGTCGCAGTACAGTGTCCGTTCCGAGGGGACCGGGCTCCGCGCGCGCAACGTCACCCGCGCGTCGTGCCCGCGGATCACGCCGCCGTCGCGAACGCGTTTTACGCGTCTAACGAATCAGACGGTGTTCGCTGTCGACGTATTTACGTACCCGCACGACACGGTACGCGCCGTCCGCTCCGCGTGTCGTCGCGCGGGACTTACACCGCGACGACGACGCGTGATAACATCGGACGCGATTTCGTCCCGTGCGGCCCTCGCGCGCGGAGTCTCCCGGACCGTGTTCATTGCGCGGTCGACGTTTCGCGTATATTTTCGCCGTCGTACGGGCGCGCCAATCGCGACGGTCTCTTTTCTCCAATGTTCGGGAATTTTCCGCGATCTTGGCTGATTGAGTTTCGAACGTTCAAGATTGTAAATATTCGCAGCGTCAACACGAAAAAATAAAATCGCCCGCGCCTCACGCGAAACCGTCGAATACTTTTAACGATCGCGCCGTCGCTATAAATTACAGTGCGGTCTCCAGCTTCGGAGCACCGTTTAGGCCCGTCGTTTCGCCGCTCAGTTCGTTCGGCCCCGCGCGCCTTTTCACTCGTACTGTTTTTATGGATCCTTTGAGACTCTGTCGTACCGCCGTCGTACGGGCGCGCCAATCGCGACGGTCTCATTTCTCCAATGTTCGGGAATTTTCCGCGATCTTGGCTGATTGAGTTTCGAAAGTTCAAGATTTTAAATATTCGCAGCGTCGATTTCCAATTCGATATACGGCGTGCCTTAGATCTGGACAATATCAGATACATCGATAAACGGTTTACTGAGTAGCGCGTGAAATTTGTACGTACGCCTCGGGGCAATGGCCCTCCATCTCCGATTTACACGGTTGCGTTCGTACGTACAACGCGTTTTCCCTATTTCCCTTAATTCTCCCCCGCCTTGCTTTCTCTTTCCTCTGAAAATCGCACCCTAAAATCATTTAAATTGCTCACTCCTTGAAACGTTGACGCCCGGGACAGTCGCCCCGTTTTTGCCGTCCGAGGGAACTGCACTGTCGGGTTTACTATAATATTATATTCGTATATTTTCGTACACGTACGGGTTAAATCGTAATTAACGCGACACGGTTTCGTGTTACTGTTTTATTTCAATGGACGTTATTTTTACCGCCGGGCTAATAATCTCGGCTGGCGTTATTTTTGACGTATTTTTTAATATATATTTATGTAACGACCATCTGTGACCTAGGGACTTAACGGACATTATTATCTGTTTGCGGATATTACCGAACAAACATCGTCGTATTACGCTACGTCCGTGCCCGTCAGTCTCGTAAACGGATATTAATTTATTTCCGGACGTTATCGCGCTGCAGGGACCGGACTTTTACTGGATAAATTCAATATAATATTTTATTATCACTACAGCGACGGACACTTTCAAACAGTTTATGCTATCTATGCGTTTCTATAGTTTATGGTGTTTAGACGAGTTATCGAATATTTCATTCGATTCGTTTTTTCTACGACCAAATAATATATAGTTAAACTATTCGAACAAGTTGTCACGCTATCGGACGGTTCGGATGCGATCAACTTTATCGAATAGTCCGATATAGTATAGTTGTTATTACATTGCGATCATCACTAATTGTCGCACAAACAGAATTATCTCTTGCATGACGGCAGTGGTGGTTTAATCACAGTTTTGATGGGAGAGGCGAATTTCAAATCCGCTAGGGGGTCGTGGTGTTCATCGCGATACTGTCGAAAATTCATCGCTGTACTCAAATCAGTGCGGAAAACGTACAAACGCGTGCGGTTTTAATTAAAACATTGTCCATAGTCTCCGGCCACCGGACATTTCTGAGCATCACATTTCTGTCGGAATCCTCTCCGGTTTCGAAATTTTATGCTGCACAGCCGATATTGTATTCTACATTATAATACTATTTATTTTTGTACGAAAATATACCGGTACGTCGTGATATGACACCGAACTTTCGGTCGATCGTGTAATATATATAAAGCGACGAAAACTCCCTGGCGGGAGGGACAGGGTAGATCTACTAATTGCTCTCTCCCCTTCGCAGATATCCGCCCAGAGTAGCGGCGTGACGACGTACTTTCGTCGTATATTATTATAACCCGTACACGCGCGGATTATCGTTGTTGGTATTATTGTTGTTGTTGTTGTTGTTGTTGTTGTGCCCGCAGTTGGCATTACTGCGCGTTATTATTTACGATTGTTTTATTAACGATGATAATAATAATAATAATAATAATTGTATCAGCTGTTACGTGCGTCACGCCGCCGAATAATAATATGACGGTATAATATTATGTATTTTATGCAAACTGCATTTTACAGTTTTATAATAATCCCCTTTATACCATTATACTGTGCGTAAAGGTACTTACCTAGAGAGGGAGAGATAGGGAGAGAGAGAGAGGGAGAGAGAGAGAGAGAAAGAGATAAAACGAGGTTCAAAGTTTTTACTGCCGTCAGGAGCGCCGGTCGTTCGGAAGTATAAATCTGCGCTCGTAGGGCTTAATGCCGCCGCCGTTCCCTTTGTACTTCTCACTCTCGCTCTCCCTCTCTCTCTCTCTCTCTCTATCTCTCAGTTTTTCTTCTTTCAGTCCTCGCCCCCGTCACTCGGACGTTTTAGACTTATTTGCATTACACGCACAACGGACCGAAACCGAAGTTAAACCGTTCGTTATGCGAACCGCGCGAGACCGCGGAGGGCGGGCGGCCGGGAATTTTCGCATCGCACAAAACGGGCAGGGGTCAGTTTTGGGTTTCGAGGGATACGTTATAATAATAATAATAATATATACACGCGCGAGAGAGGGATCTTTTTAAACAGACCGCGAAATGTTGTTGTTGTTGTTTCGTGTTTTTTCCCCCGACTATACTTTTGTTCGTTTCAAAATACCCGGAAACGGAAAACAAAATTACATTGACGTCGCGGTTTTTTTTCCATTTTATGAAACGACAGCAGTCGCTTCTTTTTTATGGTTCGCCGCCACCGACGGCGAAACGTGTATACCTATGCTCACGAAACGATTTCCACGAACGCCACGCGTATCGGCATCAGTGTCTTCTCGCGGTCGTAAACAGTTTTTTTTTTTTTATTCCAGTCAAAAAAGTGCCACAATTTAAATATTTTGATTTGATTATACCACAGGAGACTGATGATGTGAATTATTATAATACATAGTGAGATACCATCGAGAATTCAAATAGCGGATAAATGATACTATAGAAATACTTCTTAAATCAAACACCTTATTCGAAGAACTGAAAATAAAGACGCGGCATTGTTATAATCAATATGGTTCTGTTTGGTTTTGATGCGATTTATATAGCCTCTGAAACAGTGGCGGTTTTTGAACTTTTTTTCATCTACACGAATGTATCTGTGTTTAAATGAACAATAGCGTCGTTTAAGTTTAATTTAAAAATTATAACACAAAATCTACTTTTTGTAATTCAAACTCGGAGTCTGAGGAGGGTCTAGCCCCCTGGACCGCTCCCAGTGAAACCGTCACTGCTCTGAGAAAAACACAATATAAGCTATAGCACCTAATATAGCTATTTCACCTAGGTAAGAGACTTTTCGTAGAAAAGGGTTCTCAGAAAAATATTCGACTCAATTTTTCCGTTGTCTCCGCCAATGAATGGAGAAGAGGACGTAATGGCGACCTACAAATTCACACCTAGAGGCTCGGTATAACAGCAAGAGCGATCGCTAAAAAAATAATACTGATGAGGCCGGTGTTATAGTTATAGGCAAAAGACCTTTAAGGAGACCAAACGGGTTAAGGCGTGAGAAGATTGCGGTGAGAATAAGGGCGTTATAAGGCAATCGAACCGGAATCCCAACAGTCGGCAGTTGTTTTGTCGGTTTTTCGTGCGGAGCAAGATATCTGTCGGCAAAGTAGAAAAAAATAATAATGAAAGGAAAGCGCATAATAGAAGCAATAGATTCACGGCTTCGCTTAGAATCTAAAAAAATAATTATTCCGTTGTGATTCGCAGCATACTATTATTTCACGGCACGGGAATAAGATATGCAGTGCAATAATGACAAAACTGCACATTTATAACGCGTAATTTCAGCGAGGTTAACTAAGCAGAAATTATGTTGAAAAAAAAAAAAATGAAAAATGTCATCATATATCCATCATTGTCGGAGGTAGTCGTTCAAAATGACTTCTCACTCGAACGAAAATATAGCCGCGGGGGGGGGGGGGCAATTCGATTGTTTTCGCGGACGTCATTTTTTTTTTTTTTTTTTATATTCGGCCGTATTTCCATCCGACCGTTTTTGGCTTCCATCGCCACGCTTGTAGACCGATTCTCGGACACGTACACCGGACGATACACGTCCGCGTCCCGCGTTAAAAAACGTACGGATTTTTTTTATTAATTTTTGTTTTTTTTGTTTTTTTTGCGAACCGAGATCTGGAAATATAATTATTATTAGTCGCGGCAGGCAGATTATGGTAAATCATTAAAACGCAGCCCGTTCGAAACAAAACGATACCTATAGACGTTATTATAATAATGTACCCATGCGATTATATTAAACGATAATAATATCGTTTCCGATTTTTCAACGGAAAACAATAATTACACGTGGTATTAAAAAAAAATAAAATATTATAATGTAATCTATAAAGGTACGTAATTACACGGGTACGCGAACCGATTGTCCGTCACGACGACGACGGCGTAGGGGCGGCGTTCGTATAACACACGCTCTATAATAATCTCGGGAATAAAAAAAAAAAATCTAAATAATTCCGGCCGCGACGTGTTGTTATCATCGTCGTCATAGACAACCCGGCGTATACCGTCACGTGACCGTATGCGCCGATTATCGTTGTTGTTGTTGTTGCGTATACGGCCCGCCCGTGAGAACTGGTTTTTTTTCTCCAATTTTTTTTTATTATTATTATTATTATTGTTTTTTTCGGTGTTTAAGGGCCAGGCGGACTCCGTAACGGGTGCAGTAACAATGCGCCGCGCGAGCCGCCGGTTAGGTATGGGCGAATACGCGCGGCGGACAGTAAAACGATTGTGACGTTACGCGAAAGACGTCGGCCGGGGGAACGATTATTGTGTAGTGCAGTATCGCGCGGTTGACGGTTTATAGCGGACAAAAAAAAAAAAAAAAAAAAAAAAAAAAAAATACTTAAAAGAAAAAACCCCCCTCGAGTCCCCAGCACCGTGACTGCGATTTTCGTCGTCCTCGACGCGGACACGTTGTTATAATAATATCGTTGCGTTATTACGACGACGACGAGGACACAATCGCTTATTACGCGGTCGGACGTACAGAATGCGAGTGAGAAAAAAAAAAAAAAAAAAATGTAAATTATCATCGAAAATAATTCGGTGTGCCGCGTCCGTCGACCGTCGAAAATCGGATTCCCGCACTTACCGGGTTCGAACCGCCGTTTGGCCCGCGAATTCCGACGCGCGTATAGTAAAACGTCGACGATGACTAACAATTTTCTCTCCGGGGGAAAATAACTCCGCGGCTTTTATTGTACGTCCGGTTTTTTTATTTTTTTTTTTTTTTTGTTATTTAAGCGGTCCCACTCGGCCGTTAGATTTCGAATTATCGAAGCGTTTTGCGCGCGTCCCGACATTGTGAACATCGCATTATTCTACTTAACATTATTACGACGCCGCCTCCGTCGCAATTCGGCCGTACGCACGACGGCAAGGAGACCGTGAAGAGTGATTTCGATCGATAGACGGAAAACGATTCCGAGCGGATAGTATCGCCCTGAAAATATGCCGGTCTTAGCCCTTTGTCATGAAAGCGGAGAACCGTCAAAACCTATACCCCCCTCAATGCGCCGGATCGACGATGCACCAAAAAAGTCCCTATAAAACGTTCGATCGGAGTAAATCGTTGTAAAAAAAAAAAAAAAAACCGCTCCGTTTCGCTCACAGTCTAACACACCGGGCTAACCGAAATCCTAACACACATTATTAAAGAAAATATATGAAGCCTATTTAAGTATTTTTCCACAATAGGACGTATATTTCATGTGCTATTGACAAAGCATCACTTCAGCTGACTCCCGCTCAGAATCGGTTTTCGCGTAAACGACGGTTTATCGTTGCTTACAGGTACACATTAAATTATCCGTAACAGTGGCCGCGCCCGTCCCCATTATCCTGGGACGTTAATTTCATTTTATTTTTGAATAAAACAATTGCTTCCGACGACGGTCGTTCGTCGTCGTCATGTTATTGCAGCGGTGCGGGTACAAACAACCGCCGATGTCAATTATTATTCGTCGAGCGTTGGCGCGTACGGCGGGTAAAAAAAAAAAAAAAAAAAAACGATTCCGGGAAAATAAAAACCGAAGAGAGAAAGTTTTTGTACGTTTCGCAATAAACCTCGTGTTCGAAAATATCGAATTGTAATTGGTTTTTTTTTTTTTTTATTATTATTTTTTTTGCACATTTAGTGCGCGGATCGCTTATATTATTATTATTTTTGACGCTGCGGCGGCGCGTCTTTAGGCTATGCGGTTTTCAATTTATCGCAGTAAATCTATTACATTTGATTTTTAATGGATGTTTTCTGCTTCTTTTTTTTTTTTTTTTTCTGTTCGCGAAGGAAGAAAAATATTATACACGTACATAGTATTATGCTTTGTCCCGGACCAATCAATTTATATTGCTCAGCTATCGTCTATCGGACGACATTATATATATATATATATATATATATTTTTTTTTTTTCTTCGTTTTATCTATAATATCGTTTGCGATATTGCGAACTGTATAGATATTGCACTGTCCGTATACGACGTGTATGTATACGTATTTATGTATCTATAGTATTGGTTTGAAAAATAATACGCTGTCAATTATTATACTGCGAGTCTAGTGGTTTCAAAATACGTATATATATTTTTTTTATCGTCTTTATACGTTCGGTTCGAAAAACGATTTTAAACCGTTTATACATACACGATAGTAATTATTATACTGCGCGTTGTGACGGACGACTACCGTACACGAATTAGCTTCCGTACGTCGCGCAGTGTAATAACGGACGTTTTAATAGTAATACACGCGGCAGAGAACATTATTTGTTTGTTTTTTTTTTTTTTCTACCGTTTAAGCGTCCCGCCGAAAACAAACGATCGCGCGTCCGATTCGAATCGGTCGCCGTTAACCCCGCGCGCGATTTTATCGAAAAGACAAATTTAACGTGTCTGAACGATAATTTTTTTCTTCCCCCCCCCCCACCCCATAACTGTGTAATACGGATTCTGAGCGAAGCGGTCGAGTACGTTTTCTACCAGCAACGTCGGCCCAACCGTAAACTATGTACAAGAACTTTCGCGTAGCATTTCCGAACCCGGTATCGGCGCGTTCGGAAGGAGATCGTTTGATTTCGCTCGTAGTTTTCTCGATAAATGGGAAAAAAAACCCGGCGATTTTCGTCGGTTTCTGGGCCAAGTCCCTATTAGGTGCGCGTACGGCGAACCGAGAAAAATTATTCTATGCCATTAACCAGTCATGTCGGATGCCGCCGACACGTAAATTATACCGCGCTATCTGTGAAACCCTTTTATAAATTCGATGTGTCACATCGGTCACGTCACTCGTTTTCGTTCTAGCGTCAAAATCGAGTGAAAATATGCAAAATTGACGCGACACGTATCGATGCGGCAAATATGGTGGAATGTTTATTTTCAAATCGACGCGAATATGGATATTCTGAAAGTAAATTTAACAAAACAAGGTTTTTGAACGTAGAAAACCGACATGTTCGCTATCGAGTCTTCGCCGCCGAGTACACGGCGACGGTACACTATTTGGCGGTACGCGTCGGTGGAAATTGTGAGGAGGAGGCTTGAGGGGTTTGAGCGCGTTCGTAACGTATAAACACAGAAATCAGCCCGGCTCCCCCTTCGTATTAGTAGTCGGTAATTTTTAGCGGGCTGACACTCCTCCGGGTCCGGCGGTATCCGAAGGTCTTCAGCGACGTGAGTTTTCTTTATACTCGGAATTTATATATATTTTCTCTATACCGGAAATTCGTTCCCGGTCGGTTTTCGCCGGCCGAATTTCAGATCCTCACGGGCAGGTAGGTGCCCGCGGCGTGATGAAAAATTAACGTCACGCGTATAGCTGTACCCGCGATATTGTAGGACAGGGATTACGATTTTCGACGGATATTCGACGTCTGCGGGGCGTATATAATTCGATTATCGGCGCGGGGTCATTACCATAATTCAGCCGCCGCCGTCCCGGCCGGAACCCAATGGCGGATTAAAAACGGTTGATCGGGAACGCTCGTCGTCGGCACGCGCAACAACCACGCGATTACGGTTAATGGGAAATATCGTTAAAATAATAATTTTTTCACGCGCGTTAAGACGGCGGCCGCGGCCGCGGTTATCGAGGCCGAGTTCACTCGCCGGAATGATAAAAGTGAAAAAAAAAATAATAAAAAATAAATAATAATTATTATTACTATTATCGATTAGCAAGCGATTGCTGGTGCCCCGGGGAGAGAGAGGCCTAGACCGGCGACGATAAAACGAGCGTAGGTACACACACACAGTATTATCGTAGTGAGGCTGCGGACGATAGAGTGCGCGAAACGCACGTGCAAATTAAAATCGCGGCGCGCGGGCCCGGGCACACCGGAACGGCATTAAAAATATTAATAAAAATTAGAAGAAAAATAAAAAAAAAAAATAATAATAATGGTCCTACGGATATTATTATTATTACAGCGAACCTATAACAACTATATACGCGATTATTGGAAAAATTGGCCGCTCTAGGCCGAATCGTTATTATACGTACGATTTATAATACGACGTACGCACATAATACACGCTACTTACGTTTGACGATAATATATAATATAATAACAGGCATTACATTTTTTTTTTTTTTTTTTCCGGTCCGTAATACACAACATATATTATTACACTACACGTGCGTACGTATCGACGCGTACTATTCGTTCGAGAAATAACGTATCGGCGGGCACGTATTATTACGGCCCGTATACGCGCACCGGCGATATTACTGGTTTGCGCGAAACTATCGCCGCGGTGGTGTAGTAACTATTTAATTTCGGGATATTTTTAACGATAACGACGGGGAGTCGAACCGCGTCCGCGATTATTACGGCAATACTATCGCGATGTTGTACGTGAAAAGTAATAAATAATAACGCAATCCCGAGGTGGGCGATACCGCGAAAAAAAAAAAAACGAAAATACCGCGTCTGAAAATGGCTAATGCTGTTGGTGATAATTTCAGGTCTCCATCACGAACATTTTGAACCGAATTACGAAAAATAAAAAAACAAAATCATAAAAAAAAAAAAAAAATTTCACGTATTCCCAACGATTACTGAGAAAACTACGTGAAACTTTTTAAAAAAAAAAAAAAACCACCCGACGTACCGACTAGACGAAAATTTTGTTTTATTTATTTATTCAAACGCCAGCGTGTATAGGTTCAAGTATCTGCATAAGATTACGTAAATAATACAGTTTGTGTGTAGTAAAATACAAAAAAATAGAATACATAAATTTACTTAATTTGGTTTTAATACTCGCAGTAGAAATAAGACGTACGTATAATGAGGTACGATGTAAGTGTAATATTGGGGATTCGTATTGAGATTACATTAAGGATACCGGGCTGATTGCATTGAATACGTCTATATTTATTACATTTTTGCATTTTTAAAATTTATGCTGCACTAGTGATACCTTTAGATCCAAAATACTACAAAACGGGGTTTAGACTTCAGTAAAATTGCTGGCAGAAAAGTTGTTCGCAGAAAAAGAAAGACGGTAATAATTTTTAATACATTTCGTACGTTTTTCAGTTTTTCCTCCGTTTTTTCCCCAGGTTTTTCCATTTGTTGGAAAAACTCTTAAGAAGATTATCTTTTGATTTAGGAAGTACCTTCCTAGTCCGATTTTCTTTCAGAGAAAGTACTATCGTTGTAAATCGGAGCGAAGTCGCTGGTAAGAAAGTTGTCCACAGAAAAAAAAAAAAACATTGTAAAAACACGGACTTCTTCGCTCCACTCAAAATCTGAAAGTTTGGGTATTATTTCTCGAATCAATGTACACATTGATCGTATAAATTGCAATGCGGTGTGTGGCCATGGCACCCTCGGGGTTTTTTTTTTTCGATTACATACCGTAGTTGACGTAAATCTGGCTCCCTGCACGTCGCGGGGCCCGTTTTACGAAATAAATTCTAAACAATTATTTTCATAATTAACCGTTCGTTTCCTCCTCCCTCCCCCCGTATAAATTCATAGAAGTGGGGAAAAAGTCACGGAGGCGGGACCATTCACACGCGGCTCGCGCACCCCATCCCTCTCCGCCTACCCCGAAACCCGTTTTATACTTACGGGTAATACATTACACCCGTTTTGTCTACACTCTATACCCAGCATCCTCGCTCCGCTGTGAATCCGTAATAATCACATAAAATCGGTGTCGAAATTTTACTTCGACGGTGTGCACGTGTGTAGTACGCACGCACACCCGTCTGGCGCACCGTCTCCGGGAATAATAACAATTATTATTATAATTAGGTGTACTGCCCGCGGTCGGGTACGGCGGGAAATTCCGAAGCCGTTGTCGGGGCCAGCGTGCGTGTACCGTTTTTTTTATCGCGCGTCGAAAACGGCCGAGACGTAAAAAAAAAAAAAAATAATAATAATAATAATAAAAATTACTCGTTTTAACGATAATATCGTTTACCGCCGCCGTCGCACGTATACCGCCCGTCCCGTTGGCGCGAGGGAGCGGCGTGGTCGCGAGGGGCGAGGTTAATACCGAATTAACGATATAATTATCCGACGACGACGACGACGACGACGACGGCGCGTATCGCTTCGGAACATAAAATACACGCTGGATATAATAATAATAATAATAATGATAATAATAACGATGATGACGATAATGATAATACGGCGTTTTTCGTATAAGGTAACGTAACACACGTTATACGGTTTTCGCGGCCTTACCGCCCCGGATCGACCGCCGTACAAAAAAATAAAACACAAAAGGGGAGGGTGTTGTACGCGAGCGGAGCGGTAGTACGGGAGTTTTGCGCCCGCGACGTTATTAATCGTCGTTTTTCCCCTGCCGGCGTTTGAGTCGCGGGCGCGTCTCCGCGGGCTGCCGGGAAAGGATCGTTTTCAAAAAGGGCCCGTACTGCACGAAAATAAGGACCGTTTCCACCCTGCCATCCCCCCCTCCCCGCTTGTATCGGCCCGTCTCCGGGTTTAAGTAGGAGGATCAGGAGATATTTCTCCCCTCCCCCTCGACAATTTTTTTTCAGTAGCTATTGTTTGTACGAATATCCGTTGTTCGAATTCGAATTTCTTTATACATTTCAATTAGAAGAATCGTTTCAAAAACGCGTCGGTAGTTAATGAATCTATTGGCGAATTTCCTTATCAAAATCGAAACCGGTCCGAACCGCTTTACTCGGACGTTCTTCTTTTCCTCGGAACAGCGTAAAACGAAACTAACAATAATAATAATCGATGTACACGTGGTACGTCGGTGTTAACGTCAGGGGGAACACTGAATTATAAAAAAAAAAAAAAACGTTAAAACGCATAGTCGGATCGATTTCCGTATTGGCTGACCCACGGGCGTACACGCATTACACAATCCGCGTAACGAAATATTTCAAAATCCAATGTCTCCCACCTCGGCGAGATTCCGGACACACGCTATCCGGTCCGGGGCGAGCGCGCGGACGAACCGGCGGCTCGGCGGTTACCGTTCGGCCGCGCCCGTCGCCGTCGCTATCCGCGGGGCCCGCACGGGGAATTCCCCGGGTTTCCCGGCGCGGCCGCCGACGACCGCGGGTTTTCGACGAGCCGGCCAATCGTACGGCTGTCGTAACGCGCGCGCGCGCGGAACGGGGCGAGGACCGGGAACAATAAATGCGCACAGAAACGGTTTCCGACCCCGTTGCAGAGCGCCGCGGACACTCGGGTCGTCGCGCGTAACATACCGATTACCGTGTTGCGTTGTGTACGACGGTGCATAGTAGCGGCGGTGTACGCGCGTGTGGAAAGTACACGTAATCTGTTATTGTAACAGCGTGGAACGGCGTTAAGCGCGGGCCGGTATTCCACGTTGTTATAACAGCGAGAAAAATAAAAAAAAAAAAAAAAAACAAACAAACGGCGACAAAACGGAAAAACGGCCGACCCCGGCACCGCGTGTGACGGAGGCCCGTAGTCGCGCTGTTCTTTATTATTATTTTTTTTTTTATTTCTCTCCTTTTTGTACTTTTTTCCCCGTCTCGTTCCATTCATTTCACGCGTATACGAAATATCACGCGCACAATAATGCCCACACATAATATTATCGTGCACAACAATACCATGCCGTGATTTTTCCGTGCGCGACAAAAGGTCCGCCGGTACACGACGGGACCCGATGACGAATCGCCGCGGCGTACGACGGCCGCGCACCTGTGCCTGTGCCTATAGAATAGTAATAATAGTACCTACCTACCGCCGTTGGGCACAGTAAGTTCCTGCACGAGACAGACTTACCGGGTGAAATAATACACGCGTGTCAGTGCCCGTACGAATATAAAACGTGTTATTCGTTCCTGCACGAATATAAAAAGCCGCCGTAGGCCAACGCGGACGGGTGCAGTCGGTAAGGTAAGATACACAAGGGAATTTAATTTAACCTCCCAGTAAAGTACCTTCACAGTCAGATTTCCTTTTAGAAAAATTGCCAACGTGCGGATAAAAAAAAAAAAAAATAATAATAATTATAAATATCTTTGTAAAACCGTGAGTGTCTTCTTCGCTCCACGCGAAAATAAGACGTGTGGCAGTTCGTACTACGTGAAAAAAAAAAATAAAAAAAAAAAGGAGGTTAAATGGAAAATGTACGCAATTCACCGCTGTATAAACGGGACGAGCGCGTCTAACGACGAACGGCCCGGTACATTACGAGCGCGTACTTGCCCATCTCCACCCGAGCCCCGTCCCGACGACGAGTCGCGAATTCTACGCGACGGCCGACTACTGCCCTCCCTACGACCCACCACTCACCGGGCGCGGAGACGTCGAGCGCGCGGCCGAATACGCGAACGGAAACAATTATCGTACGTACCTATACGGGCGTGCGTGCGGGTAATGTATTAAGTGCGCGGCGCGGCGTGCGTTTTAATGAAAACTCCGTGGCCGGAAAATTTCGCGTGTCCAAAGACTGTGTGCACACGGGGCCGCGCGCAGCGTGCACACGCCGCGCTCGGGTTACCGCGAGCGGACGAGCGCGCACGCCGGTAATTGCGCCGGACCGTCGGCGCCGCCTCGTAATTAAGTCCTTTTGTTTTCGGGTGAAGTGGCGGGCGAGCGGGGAAAAATAGCTGACTCGGCCGGTACGGACGGCCGAAAGTTTCACTAAATACGTTCCCGGGGAACCGTTTTCGGCGGAACGCCAGCGTACGGGTGCGCGTTTTACGCGTGCATTCACCTGCGCGCCCGCACTTGCGATAACGATTTATCGACTGCGTTCCGCGTCCCGGGCAGCCGAATTCGCGGCACCGTATTCGCCGTGACGTTCGCATTCGGAGTGGGAAACCGCTACGGAAACGCCGCGCGACCGAAGACGCGCGCCGCGGCCGGGTCCGATGCGCGAGCCCGTACTCTTTTTCTATTTTTTCTCATTCGCGGCGCTCCGGCACGCTCCGGCGATTTTCCTATTGCGGGCGCGCCGACCGATACGGGGACGTCCCGCGAAGATTCACCCGCCGTGCGATACGTCCCCGGAGATAACGAATAGACAATGTGACAATTCTGGGCGTTTTTTTTTTTTTTTTTCTGTCATGTCACTCGCCAGGCTGATGAGTATTAAGTCTCTAGCGTTACGGCGACACAGTTCGGTGTATCGACCTTTTTATTTTCGTCCGTTCGTCTATTCTATACTCGCCGTAATCGTATGATTATTATTACGATCATCCGACTGTATACGCTTCTCTTGCCACGTCTGGGAAAAGGCAAATATAAGTTTTCTGTCCGAGTTTCAAGTCTTTACGAACGTTTTTAAACGAATCACAACAAATAATAAAAACATTACGTTCGTAAATCTTCCGTTTTCCCTACGTTTCTCCTAGATACTATGAAAACCGCTTGGAAAATCAAAAAACGACCTCCTTAAAGCGCTTTTTGGCCAACATTCCCTTTCAGAAATGGTGCTGCGCGTATATATCTGAGCAACGTTTCTGGTAGAATTTCCGTACACGGGATACAAAAATCAAGTAAAACCAATACATTCTTCGCTACACACAAAGTCTAAAATTGTATTCGTCTTCCTCATTGACGAAAATCACTTTTGAGACTCTATTAAAATTCTACTTTTTTCATAATTTTCATGAAATTTCGAGGGAAAGTGGTTGAATCCCTATCACAACCCCCCTTGTACACGCGTCTGCTTTAATGTGTACCTATGGCAAAGTGCAATTATTTCCTCTACACCGTTTCAAATCGACGATGTTTCCCCATTTACCGACGTCGATTTTTATTTAAACTTTCGATATTCTCGGCATCATCGGTGGTGTGAAAGAAGCGCGTACCGACGTACGCCGTCCGTATTAGAGTGTCTCTCCCCCACCCCCCGGACGTGAATACGACCGGGCATTTGCGCGGCAGCCGTTCGTGGCGGCCGGGGGGCCGACACCGAATTAACGGTTGTGTCAAAGTCGCATAAAACGATGTTGCATTCCGTTAAGCCGGGCCCGTAGGAGAGAAGAAAAAAAAAGCGGCTCAACGGCCGGCTGTTCGCCCGGGTATAAAACGCGTATACGCACGCTACGCGGTTGGATATACGGCGTCTCGTGTTTTCGCTTTTGTTTGTTCGGCCGCGGGCGTGCGTGCGTCCGCCCACACGCACAGAGGAATACGTTCGTTACGCTCGTGTACGACGCGGCCGATAATACGAATAATAATAATAACAACGTGTACACCTACCTGTACGTCCTATACGCGGTAATATAATACGCGAGTGTAACGACGATAATATTCTGACCGCGTGTGTGTGTGTGTGCTTGAATAAGAAAGAAAGAAAAAAAAAAAAAATAAAAAACAACTTTTGTGGCGTGTTTAACGTGTACGCGTATACTGCGGGTACGCGCATAACGTGTAATATCATGAAGGTATGTACCTTATAATGTACATACAATACCTATATATATATATATACGTGTACAGCGTATTATACTGTGTACGTATAGACGGTAAAAAAAAAAAAACAAAAAAAGACGCACTCGGTTTAGGTACGCCGGCACGGAAAAAACACAATAACGCTCGGTCGGTAAAAAAGCGCGCGCGTTCTTTCATTTCGTGAATTCCGTTTTGTACGCGTGCGTTTTCAAGCTTTTTAAATGCGATCGCATGCCCGTACTGCTGACGATCGTGCGGCACTGTTTTTAGGCGGCGTCGTCGGCGGCGGGGGGGGGAACATGAAGGAGGGATATGTGTGCTGCACAGAGCACCCGAATGTGTATGTCGATAGGGGGGGTGGGGTAGGGTTGCGAGTTAACGCGGAAACCGACAAAAACTATAAGAAAAACCGCCTAGGTTTTTCTCGTTCTTACGAAGAATATCGGAAAACGGCATTTCTCGCGCGTGGACCCCGGATCGAAAACTCTACGAACGGTTTTCAAAAAAAAAATGGCTTTTCGATCGGAGCAATCGTATTACTGGTAGAAAAGTCGTTTGAAGACCGCACACACTACACACAAAAAATTCCATAAATATGGGCGGAATTTCAATGAAAAATGCGTATCGTTTTGAGCGATACTAGACAATGCATTCCAAGTACGTAATTCGATTTGTGTTACAGAGACTTCAGAAACTTTTATTTCGCATTGTTTTTGCAGTTTTCGACGTTTTTTCGATTTTCAGAGCACAATCGTGAATTAAACCTGTGCCGCGGCTTAACAGTCGGAGTTGAGCTAGTGAAAACAATTATTGCCCGTGTTTTTCGGGATTTCCAGCGCCAATCGGACAATTGCGGCGAGTGAACGCGATTCGATCACGTTGCGTTATTGCCGTATCGACGCGCCGACGGGGGGACGATTCAGTAACGCGTAGCGCACAGACACGGTCGGCTTGATACGCGACAGTCCGCAGACGCGCGGGATTTCGGTACGGTTTTCCGGCGGGTTTTCGCGCGCGTTGACCGCCGCGGGTCGCACGCGACGGGCGCCCGCCGCGGGCACCGTCACAACGACGGTCGGATTTTCCGCCGCGCGCTCCCGTCTGGCGCCGCGGAAATTTCGTTCGTCGCGGGACGACGCGGTACGACCGAGTGCCGCGTGCGGCGAAACGCTGCCGTCACCACCGCTATACCGCGGCGGCTGCACAGTACGGTTTTCAAAAACGGAACGAAAACGTTGCTGCCCCAGGACGCTGCGGACGCTGTAATTCGGCGTGCCTGTTACAACGGCCGTGCGCAACGATGAACCGTTGCCGACGGAAAAAAACGGTTCTGAACGGAGTTCAGTTGATAGCGATGCTTTGTCCGCAGCACACACATACGTGTCATATCGCGGTAAAACAGTTAAACAGACGGTATATTTTCCTAAATATTATTTGTTTAATGTGCCGGTTTTCTCGTGATTTTTTCCCGGTTGTTCACGTTTTCTGGGAAAACTCCTGAGAAAAATAAACCTTGCTAAAGTACCTCCCCGCCACGATTTCCTTTCTGGAAAATCGGAGCGCGATCTATGGTAGGAAAGTTGTCCACAGAAAACAGACAATAATTAACGTTAATGTAAAACCATACGCTTGTTCGCTTTATTCACAATCTAAAAATCAAAAAGTTGAAATTCGAGCGAAAAAATGGCCGAGGAGCGAATACTATGTTTATCGAAACCGCCGGAAACACGCGTCTCTGACGCTAACGCGATTCGTATACGAAATTTCCGTGCCCTTTGCTCTAATTGCAGGTCGCATATGGATGTTCAGAGTCTACCCTATCCACTTCAACACACCGCGCCGGTATAAAATCGTATCGAACCCAACACTTTGATCACTTCAATTCGCGACTGTTCCCCGTTTCCCGCGAGTGCGAGCTCATTTCTCGTCCCGAGGGAGCCGATATTGAACTGTCTAAGATTAGCGGAGAAAAGACAATATATCATATAATATCGCGATATTCACAATTTTCTAGGAATATCCGACGGAAATATACCGTTTTACCGTCGTACATCCGAAATTCGAACGGCGCAATTTTCATCTCGTATCGAAGGTCTTTTTAAAAAAAAAAAAAAAAAAAACACAATCTTGTTTATTAAAGGTTTCCGACAATACTCAGGCCAGTTTTTAGGTCACCGATGTAATATTATTATTGTCATTATTTTCGTTTGTCGTACACGCAACTTGCGTTGTCGAAATCGAAACTATACCTGCTGTATAAGTTAATCGCGAATTCTCATCGTACCAAACGATCTCGCGTCACGGTTTGCATTCCAAAACAGATAAACCGGCCGGTTTTTTTGATGCGTTTCACAGATAAATAAACGTTTTCGAATTTCTACGCAGATACGAATAATAATGTACGCGTTTTGGCCGCCGTTCAATATTTAACGATTAAAACGTTCGATTTATCGCGGACGGTTTACATTAAATAATGGTATTAATGAAAACGGCCGAAATGTATTCCGATAAAAACGCGCAGACGTGGCTTTTTCGCGAGCTCAACGTGCTGTTTTTTCCGTCGAACCGGTATTTACGGGTTTTTGTCCCTCCTTTCTCCGTATAGCTACGTCGAAAAAATTCTGACCGAACGTACCGTCTCATCCATGTATTATAATACGCACCTATCACGAGTGATTTTAATTAAAATGCCATTGACGATGCCGACGAGAAGAGGAGAAAGAAAACATAAACAAAAAAAAAAAAAAAAACACACACACGCCATCGTCGTCGTCCCTCCGAGCAATACAGGGGGCGCCGCAGGGGAGGGAACGAATAGGCCGGAGGGAGAAAAATATATATAAAAAAAAAATTACCAGTTCGGTCGCGATGTGTGTGTGTGTGTGTGTGTGTGTTTGTGTGTGCGGTGGAAACGCGATACGTCCAATAAAAATTAATTTAATATGCCGCCATGTGCAGCACGAACCAGTATTATATTGTGTAGAAGCATACTCACACACATACACACACGCACACCGTATATTTATATACAGCGCACACTGTATATTATATGTATAATATATATCTGTATATCCGTTTCGTGAAACGTGAACTGCAAACGCACGCAGACACGCCGACCGAATAACATAACAACAGCGCCGAGCAGGTCCTCGTCGTCGTCGTCGTCGTCAGTTCTTCTCGTATTATTATCATTATTATTATTATTATTATTATTATTATTGTGTACTTACATCGGTCGACCGAATCTCCGTCCGCGTGTCCGGGACGTCATTACGTCCGTCTGTTTTTTTTTTCATTCTTTTTAATCCTCTTGTCGGTTCGCGTGATCGAAATAATACGCGCAGCGCCGAAGGATTACGTATACTTACGTCCCGGTTTCCCCGTACACTATATATATATATATATACTTTATGTATATGGCGTCTCGATTCCGGTTTCACTTATTATACAAAAGACGGTGCGCACGCAAAGGTCCGCCCGTCGTTAGTCGTTTAAAACGTTGCGGTGCCCGACGAACGGCGAAACGAAACGGCGAAAAGCTCACGCGACGCGATCGTTCACGCGGAAACCGCAGACAACGACGTCGTTGCGCGCACACGGGCAGTAGCCCACTGCTGAGCTCCAAATCCGGATCGAAACGAACGTTACAATCCGTTTAATTCGGATTGAAATCGCCGATCCGGATTATGAAGATCTAAAATAGATGGTTCATTTTTAAAAGGCTTCTCGTATTGTTATTCGATTGGTTCCGAATTCCGGATTAAACGGATTAAATCCGAATCCGGAACGGTTAAAGTATTGTTCAACACTAATGCAGGCGTGCTAGTGTCGGGTCGTATTGTTTTTTTTTTCAAAAATATTCCGATTTTATTCTGACGATCGAAATGGCAAAATCCTAAACGGCCGAAATCACAGTGTTCCGGTTTCTGCGCGTTTCAAATATGAATTTCTAATGCGACTCGTGAGATAAATTTGACGAGATCATACGGGTCTTGGTTATAATATAATAATACACGTTTTTTTAGTTCTCAGCGCGATATGTGTGGACGTTTTTTTTTTTTTTTTTAAATTTAATATGCGCATAATCATTTATCACCCGAATATTCCCGATTGCGTTTTACGAACATTATACGAGCATCTGCAGAGTATAAAAAATATGATACATACGTATATTGCGTATGAAACCGGATCGCACGAACGGTGTCCTAGTGTCCGGACAGTTCCCGCTGCACTAATGATGGGAACAGTGCCCGAATGAATTCAAAACGGTTTGGCCGCATACAATCCACGTAGGTATTATAGATCATCCTGCGACGGGACCATACACACGGAACACTCGTGTACGGGGTGTATTGGAGACGCGGATGTTTCGAATTCCGACCATTTTATACAGGTTCACGGTATCATTAGGTAGGCTATAGGTGTATGGTCTGCTGCGGTCAAGCCCTCGCGTCCAGTTGATTCTTATGTAGTTGGGTACACGCAGGTATGTTGAAATCCACAATTAAAATTATCTCGGGTGAAATAAAAATAATTTCGAACGGTCCGTAACCGAACGAAATATTAAAGCTGTAAGATATTACACATGCCGCAATTATCGAAATAATAAAAAAGAAAAAAAAAAAAAGAGTGTTAAACACCCGCGAAATAATACGGAAACATCGTTAAAAATTATTTTCGTACAAATTATCTTAATAATTGTAATTGCGACGACGAAAATACGTTTCGGACACAGTGCTATTATCATAATCGTATACTTAATATTTTATACAGTATGCCTAATGTAGGTGCGCTCGTTGTTCGTATATTAACATAGTACGTTTGGGAAAAAAATATGTATCGCGTGCATATATTAATAGCGTGTATAATATTATATTATTGCGCTTATTATAGAACATTATAATAGGTATACGCGTACGCGTATTGTATTTAATCGATATTAACATAAAATGGCGTTAAATCAATTATCGGTGAGAGAGAGAAAAAATGAATATTTCATAAAAAAAAGCTATATATATACACATATATTATAATATAAATACGCGTATTTATTATAATGCCCGAAAGGAAATTTTTTTTTTTAACGTTCGACCCATTGTGTACCACCATTGTTACCCATTGTGTTCCGTCGGTCGATATAAAAATTTTTACTATCATTTTTTTTTTTTTTTTTCTATAATATATACGTACATAATTTAGCCGATTTCTTCGTTTTATCTCTTGTCGAAAATAATCATTTTTTTTTTTATTTATTATCATATTATTTTACGGGTTAAATTTGACTTTTATCCGGTCGTATGTATACGAGCGAAAACGTGAGCGTACATAACACACAGTATTATTATGGCTATACCTATACGTACGTGTGCAGCGGGTACGGGAAAAAAACGACAGTAAAATAATATTGTAATGAAGGTTTTACGCGAGGCGGATTGAGTTTGGAGAAGAAAAAAATAAACGGGTCGGCGCAACAATAATAATCGTATAACAGATTGGACAGCCGGCCGTGAATAGATACGTACATTATACTCGTAAATAATAAATGGCGCGGGCCGTAAACGCGGACGGCGGCGCACGAACGGCGCGCTATCGTCGGCCGCGGTCCGGCGCCGCCTCATGCGGAGATCGATAACGATCGAATGGAAACAATACGAACGACATCGAGCGCGTCTCGCGGACACGGGGCAGGCACCAGCCGAGGGTCCCTCGACCGGGACGGGAGACGGGGCCGGGGACGCGCGTACGCGTGCCTATGCGTGGGCGCGCATTGTGCTATGGGGAAAAAAACGGTTTCGGACCCGAACGAGGCCGTTCCGTTGTGTCGCGGCGACGCGACGGGTCTCCCGTCCGAGTGTACGGTGTCCTGTGGTACCGCGCGTCGGTGGTGTTGTTTTTGTTTTTTTTTCCAGTAATTTTATAACGCCGTCTCGGACGACGCCGTGGACGCCGCCGACGGAAGTCTGAACGCCGAAGGGGATGTGCTGCGGCGTGTGTAGGAGGAGCGCCGGAAAGAGCCCCCCGACAACGGCGGACGGATCGCTGGGTGGTTCGAGAACGAGAAACGTTCGATTAGTTTAGCGCGCCTAAATCGTCTGCAGGGCCTTCGGGAAATTTATTTCAGATTGCTCTACGAACGACTTGTTCGTTTGTCGCCCGGTTCGCCCGACTTATTTCAACTGTGTTTCTGCTACAGCACCGCGTGTCGAATGCGAATCGTTTTTTTTCGTTCGCTATTGTCCGCGAATCACCCCCCCGTAAAGCGATACATCGATAATTATATCCGTACAGCAGGCAGGGACGGGACGTAACGTCGAATCGCCCGCAAATAGAAAAGGAAAAACGCGGCCCGGTTCGTTGTAACACAAATGAGGACGCGAACCCGCGTAACGGGCCGGGAGCGCGCGCGGCGGAGCGCGCGGCGGAGCGCACGGCGGACCGCACGCCGAAGAGCGCTGCGAGCGATGAGCTGGAGCGAGCGAAACCGGCAGGAAGCCGGAGCACGGCCGCGCGCAGCGTCCGGGGAACTCGAGGGACGGAGCTTATTACGCTCGGTCCCGAGAGACGGGCCCGGTCGTACGGCAACGGCGCAGGCGCGCGTGGCGGATGACGGGGGAAGAGCTTAGTCGGCCCGGCACGGGCGCCCGGCCGAAAGCCCGAGCGGCTTATAACGCAACGGCGTACGCGAGACGAAAAAATCGTTTACGCCCGGGCGAACACTGTCGCGCGTTCCGCGGCCCGCCGGACGCGTCGGGCGCTGTCGGATAAAACGATAAAGCGGACGCCGCGATCGAAAACAACAACGTCCGGCGCCCGCGGTAACGTTCAATTATATACGGGCGGAACCGGGTTCGGCACACGGCGTTACGGTGATATTACTTTTACGCGCGCGCGCGCCTCTATGCGTACGCGTTTGTTCGTTTGTCATCGAACGCGCGGTAAAAACAACGCGGGGCTCGCGCGGGATTCGTTTCTGTCCCGTCTCGCCCCACCGACAAGCACTGCGCCCGTCCGCCCGTGGCACGCGACGTTCAGTGTCCCGGATCGCGGACGCAGACGCGGTGTCCGTCCGCCGAACGGATCACATAATCGTCGCGTCTTCAGCAGCGCTCCGTCGCGCCCGTCCGTTCCGTTTTGCCGCGAACGCTGAACGCGTGGTCGGTAACAGATCGGTAAAAGACAAACGCGTCGGAACGAAACCGACGAGTGGAGTGCATTTTGTTCGGGTCTACGCGCGGGCACCGCCCGTTCCGGGACGAAAAGCGCGGTGTTGTTATTGTGTCTCTCGCCCGGCAATCACAAAAAAAAAAAAAAAACTAAAGTCCGCGGATTATTGTTAGCCAATCGCGCACCTAATGCACGACTGTACAACGACGACGCATCCGACAGTCGAATATCCTACCGGACGGGACACGTGCGTATGTACATATATAAGTCTGTTAAAACGATTCAAATGAGCGCTTAAGCCCCCGTATTAAATTCGTCGAAAACAAAGCGACAGATAAAATAAATCGGGAACCCGCCCCGCACTGTCTGGAAAAAAATAAATAAATACCGTCGAGTAGATTAAGGAAAAAAAAAAAACGAAAAAAAAAGGTAAAATATAGTTTTACAGCAACGAAAAAGGTCGCGTATCTCACGTTTCGAGCTATTAATCTCTAATCTCTTTCGACGGCTAGACCCTTTTTTTCGCTGCGGCGGGAGAATCGTACACACACCGAGAAAAATAACCCCGAAGAGAAGTCGTTAGATAAGGTACTGCCGGAGTTTAGGAAATAAGCGAACAATAAAAAAAAAAAAAAAAAAAACAAAATGCCAGAAAAATAAGCGCATTTAAAATTGCGTATCGTTTAATTTTTCTCCGATCGATTGTGAGTGTCGGGACTTCGGGAATCGGTTTGTAATACGAATATATCGGTTCGATTTCGATTATAACGGCGTCGTTAGCGCGTATAATTAGCAGTGTGCAGGAACGGTCCTCGGGTCGGCCGGGGAAAACGATATTTTCGGGATTCGAAAGGTCGTTTCCGGGTAGCCGTCGTACGGGCATTGCGGACGGGAGTACGGGAATGGGGGCGGGTAGTGGAGAGGGCCGGCGTTGGGGAGATGGAGGAGTTGAACCGTTTCGTTTGGCAATCTCGCCACGCGGCGTCTCGCGTCGGCCGCCGTCGCGCAAAACAAACGAAAACATTTTTATAATTGCCGGTGCCCGCGGGACGGAGGGCGATAATTTATCACGCGTAGGTACCTATACAGTTATTGGCACGGACATTTTTAACGACTGACGGGTTTTTTTTTTTTTTTTTTTTTTTTTTTTTTTTTTTTTTTTTCTCCCCCCGTCGATACATTATTCTTTTCGGGTCTTTCCGCGCTCTAGCTCTCCGGGTAATTTTTTTATTATTTGTGCAGCGTTTTTCGAGTGGCCGTTGCACACACACACACACACACACACACACACATAAAAAAAAAAAACCCTCCTAGTGGATGTGCATACAGATGGTCTTTTGAGCATATTATACAACACACACACGCGTATATGTTTCGGAGCACCGTATACATCACGTATACACAATATAATAACGCATTGCGCGGACCGGCGGCGCGGTCTCGGTCGGGGTCGGCGGTGGGAGGGGTAGGGCGGCGAGAGACCTTTGCCTCGTTGCGAAAGCGGAGAGCGCCCGAAGAATATTATATTATTATAAACGTCCCGCCATCAGGTAATTTAAAAAAAAAAAAAATAAAATTATTTATCGGTTCGGCATACGCGTTTCGTGCAGGGGTGCGCACCGTACCTTATTTTACGTGCGCGGCGTTGTGTATTATCATACCGCGCACCGGTTGTATTATTATTTCTCTCTCTCTCTCACTCTCTCTCTCTCACACGCGCACACCCCGTACAAAAGACATTGTGTTACGTTCGGGCGTCGTTGCGGCGCACACGTGTACGCGTACGCGGGGCGTGTGTTACGCGCATCCACCGGGACCGTACGCGAGAGCCGTAAACTATTATCGCCGGACAATCTGTACGGACCGCGGCCGACGCCGACGCCGACGACGACGACGACGACGACGATAACGATAACGATAATAACGACAACGACAGCGCAGAGTTCGCGTACATACGCATGCATGCGTTTCGCGTGTCATTTGCACGAGCCGTATTGAATACGCATGCACGAAAACCCGACACGGCCGCGGCGTTACGAAAAATTGCCGCGTACGCGCCGCGGTCGGAAACCCGTCGGGGGGGGGGGGAAACCAAAACCAAAACGATAATAACAATACGACTCCGGGCAGCCGACCGGGCCCGTTTTCCGTAATCTTTGCGCGTAAATCTGAAACGCCCCCGAGTGCGTACTGCCCCGTGCCCGTGCCCGCGGTTATTTTCTTTTGTTTGTTTTTCGTCTCGTCCGCCGGACCGTTTTCGCGTTGCGCCGCACGGAGTACCGATGTTTACACGCGCCCCGGAGCCCCGGCGATTGGAATTGTTTTTTTTGTTTCTAATAGCCCCGGGACTTTTATATTGTCGCGCGCGCGTATTCGAGTTTTCAGATTTTAACGTTTACGAAATATTCACGCCGGCCCGACTTTACCCGTCCGTGCGATTCGTTTGACCGAACGCGCGAGACACGAGACATCGTTTTGTCGTTGACGAATGACCGACAAGTCGAACCGACCGCGACAACCGCTAACTGTGCAGATTGTATTCTACCGGATTCTACTGGGTTTCTACTGGACCGTTCACGCGAACGGATATTTCTGTCCTCCGGTCGGACGGTTAGTGACGGTTAGTGCGGTATTCATTTTGTTCACCGAAATGCTTACCCGTGTTTATCACGCGGGATACCGTACTGTCTTAAAGTGGAATCTAGTTAAACGGTTTCCGTTCGAATGGTCTACTCTGGGCGACAGTGACAATTACAAATTAATAAAATTGAAATTATAACAATATTCGTTATTATTTAACTCGTCAATCTTTCTTTTCGAAAGCCGATCAACTTCAAAGTTAAGTTTTCACTATGAACCCGGGCCAAGTTATAGTAAGTTAATAATATCTATGTATGTTTAATCAGTTTAATAACTATGTACCACACGTGTATACACTTGTTTACATTTTTAAATTATATATTCTTTTTTTGTTATCATTTTTAATCTAATACGCAAGCCGGGTATAAAACAACATTAACCGTGCTTACGGGAGTCTTCATCGTGTCACGAGTGTACGCAATACGTACAAAATAACTACGTGCAATAAAACGTGCACGTACACGTGAACGGTCCAGTGGAAACCCACCTTTATCCCTGCTTCGGGTTCGAGGTTTATCGCAATAGTGATACGATTAAAAAATTGTTTTTAAATATTTAGCGATGTAATGATTTATTATAAATAGCGATAATCGAAATTGGTCTTGGTCTTGCGGTCTCGTAAAACTACAAGACCAAAATCAAAACAACACCAGCACCGCAACACTTTTGTAATTTTTTTCTCCCGAAAACACATTAGCGGATTTCGATTTAATTAAATAATTTATAACGAAAATAATAAGATATTATCTTGTTATCAAATCGCATCGATATTTCGAGAAAATGGCGAATTATTGATAAAAGATTAGAAATAATTGGAATTAGTATAACAAAAGCCAATACGGTTGGTATCATATTTATTGTAAATATATTTTTTGATTTTTTTCGTAGTTTGTGTGATATGATTGCTGTTTTGGATTTTGTGTACCTAAACTAGTGTCCTGTACATCATGGACAGACTTAATGCGGACTTAAAAATGTACCAACAAAATATAAAAAAATTACACCGGAATTTCGACTCGCGCGGTTTTGCCGGGTAGCCGACGGTATATTATAGCAGAGGAGCGCATAAAGTTCGGTTTCGTATACATTGTTTTTTACGACCAGGAAGAACAATATTATACTTATATAATATTAAAACTTTTAATGACTGAAAACCGACGGCGGTATTCTCTTTTTGTTGAAAAAATAACAATAAAAAAAAAGAAGAAAAAAAAATGTAATTAAGTAATAAATTTATCGTCGTCGGCCGGAGCTCCGGGCCGCGGCCACAGCCGAAAACGGAATGGCCAATCCCAAGGATTAGCGCATAACGTGTTCAAATATAACTGAAAATAGTGTAATAATACGACGACGTGATGTATGATGATAAAAATAATAATCGTCATAATAATAGACGTTTGTGATAAATTAGGGTCTGACTAATCGTAAATTCATGACGAATAATAATAATAAAAAAAAAAAAAAAAACTAATTTTTTTTTTCTAATACCATTAATACGTCGTTTTTTTTTCCGCTCCATACGCGCAATGTCTTAACGTTGTTTTGTCCTTTTTGATATTTTTGTTGACGGAACTAATCTCTATTTCGACTATACGTTTATATACGTATACTGTCTCGAGTTTACGCGCAGTACGTGTGTAAACGCATGCCGACTATATACACGAAGATCGACCGCAGAGTAAAATGTTTAAGTACGACAAAATTGGTTTTGATAAAAAAAAATAATAATAATAATAATAAATTAAAATGAAATTAGATCGACAATATAATATTATTGTAGTATTATATTATTATCATTATCATTGTTATTATTATTGTGTTATTATTATAGCGCTACTCGAAAGGCACGTATATAACATAGGATATTGGAAAACAGCTATACGCGCCATTGTGGCGTGTAATTCGCTCGCAAACAGAACCTCTTGCTGCGTGTACGTAATCGAAAAATAGTCGGATACCCTTCGCACAGTGGGTAGGTCGTTGTCGTGGGTGGCGTATTTGAAAGGCGTAGGACGCGAATAGGGTATAATATGTAGTGTGTACGTACGCCGAAAACGACGATAAATCGAATAAGCGTTTTCCGAATGTAAAAAAAGAAACCCCCCCCCCGCGTTACGGTAAGACTATATAACGGTTTATTCTTGTCACCGCTTTATGCACGCGGAACAAAAAATCTGTAGGCGCAACTAGATCCCGACTTTGGGGTTGCTACAATCATAGATACATCACAGACCCACGCCTCCAACGGTCTGCGACAATGCTACGCCTCAACATTCAACAATGCCCTCTGGCCTTTACACCTATAATAAGTAGCTACATATTCGTTTAAATTTTTCGTGCATACAAATGAATCATAACTTTTTATACACACACACATATTGTCTGTAGGTAATCTGTATTTCATTCCGTTCATTGATCATTATGAATTATACGGATGAAAAATTTAGCCGATACTATTAACAAAAGCTCATCGGGTATATTTTTTCTTTTTTTTAGGGGGGGGGAGGGGGTACTGATTTTAATCCTGGAATTGCTAAATACCACTTTGAAGCCCCCCCCCCTAGTTGTGCCTATGGTAAAAACCGGTATAAACGACGGTACAATTATGCGGGGAGACTAAAAATCGAATGTCGACATTATAATAATAACACGTTCGTCTGGCATCGTGATAATAAAAATAAGAAATAAATTTAATGTATTGTAACGTT